AAAAAAAAAAAAAAAAAAAAAAAAAAAAGAGAACACATATATATGTACATACCTAGGTGCAGCATAAACATGTCGCACTGTTGCGGACGTGATAATTCTGTTGTTTTAATTGCTGCGCATGCCGAGACATGAAGCTTACGCGGATGAGCCCGAAAAGTCCTAATGCCTTAGTGTCCTCAGCCATGCACACGGCCACCGTCAGCAACCTTTGCTTATTCAGGAAAAACATTTTTTAAAACGCCCAGTTGTGCTTTCTCCCCTGTGCCCAGGTTGTTGGCACCGCCTGGCTCTAACACGATCTTTTACCCTTCCTTGGCACCACAATGCCGAGCCACCTCCAACTGTATTCGCAATTGTACATTCTGTACCTGAAACAGGAGGTACTATAAATGTGTATACTGGCGCGTTGCCAGTTCGAGATGGGTGGTGCGATTATGCAACATGATCTAACTCATCCTTCTATGTTGTACGTGGGCGTTTTTATTATTTTCCTTCTGTGCCCCCGCCATCGACCTTGCCTCACACCGTAGCTATCACCCATGTGGTCGTAACAACATGCCACTCCTAATAATGCACTGACATACATTAATCGTTTCGTTCAAAATTGGTACAGTTGTTGTTTTTCTAAATTAAATTGAGTAGGTATGCATCAATTACAAGCCACATGGGACACGAGCTGCGTGCCAATCGTAAGTCAAATGAGACACCAAACTGGGGGGCGTCATACGGTACGCCATGTGGATATTTAAAAAAAAAAATTCGGTTGCCAAAAACTCTGCACAGTTAAATGCACAAATATGACTTAAAACAATTACAAATGCGGAAGGAACATAACGTAGGAATGTATTCAAAAAGAAAACAAAAAAAAAAAAATTATTGAACATAAAAATCGCAGCTAGATTTACACAACAACGTATAAAGTGAGTGCCCTCAGGGTTAAAAGCAATAAACGGGGGCTCACACTTATGTGCAGCAGTCACGACTACGACAGCACATCGAGCGCAGTAACGCGGTTACACCAACTTTGCCATGGTGCCAACTTGGCTATTGTGGGATCTCCCGCGCTGCAACTCCGTTACAACTCTACATTTTTCTGCGGGAAGTAAAACAGCGAAATAAAGTGGCGGAACATGGAGGACAACAATCCCCTGCCGCTGTTGTTGTTGCTCTGGTCCCCCTTCTCATCATAATCAACGGCCTTCTGAATATCGTCCGCCAAAACAGTGTTTATCGTTTCCGTTGTGCTGTAGTACTCATTGTCGAGGAAGTCATCTAATGTGCCCTTTGATCCGGATAGGTGTTCTTTAAATTCGATATATTTCTGTACAATTTTTCTGGGGTTCTGAGATAACTTATTCAACAGGTAAAATTTTTTGGACATGTAAAACAGACATGAACTTGTAGAGGTGCTACCATCACTGTAGTAATGAGTTCCGTACTTACTATCATCATATTTACTGTCGTAATAATCATGGTCACTCTTTCCTGTAGCATGTTTAGTATCCCCGGCACTGGAAACTCCTTCATGACCCGCCTTATGTGGGTCATTCAAGTGATTCATTCTTGCATAATATTCCGCTTCACCAATGGACTCAGCCAAATCGTAATCCAATTCTTCGTCCACATCAGCATTTTCTTCTCTATGTTCTCTGTGCTTTCCCCTTCCACAATTATACCCATGTATTGATTTGAAGCATTTTTCATTGTAAAAGGGACTATTCTGTAATAGCTCATTCTTCTTTTTAATAAAGTTACTTGCCCCTTTTATGATATTGTAATAGTCCTCATGTTCCGTTTTGTCTTCCCCTTTGCTACTGTTGCTTCCATTTAAAATGTTAACCTTTATGTCCTTCAAGTTGAAGTATTTATTGTTGAACTCGATTTCTAAGTCATCAATGTCGGTAATGATGTTGTTTCCCTTGTTAAGACCCCCAGATTTATAATTATTATTTATTTTTAACAATTTTTCGTTGAACACTGGAAATAAATTCGTCATGTCATCCATATCCTGTTCGTTCAGGGTGTTCTTCATGATATCTTGCAGGGAATATAGCTTGTCCAGTTTTGGCTCCACTCGTTTTTGCAGGTAGTAGCGGCAGCACTTGATGCCATTGCCTTCCCTTGGTTTAAATACGTAGCATCTATAACACAGGGGCTTCTTGAATACGTTGATGTACAGACATGGATCCCCATTTTGACCCCCCCCCATGTAATTAGCCCCCTCTGAACGTACTCCAAATACGTTTAAAATCAACAAAATGGACAATATCGTAACAAGAGTCATGCTTGTACCATTTACAATGTTCTTCAAAGATAGTGGTGGGAGTAAAACAAAAAAAAACAGAACAGACAGCTCCTGTAACTATAGCACGATATACAACTTACGCGCTCTGTAGGTATGGTCAAGAGTAACACAAACGTGCTGTTTATGCTCACGTATACATCTACCGCTCACATAACTGCTGCGCATGCTCTCTGTCAAAAGTCGTAACAACGTAAATCCGTGTTCGAATAATGCTATGACGGGGAGGCGCGAAAAACAGCTTTGCGCTTCGCGTAACGCCTAACTCAATTAAACGCCCGGACATAGGTTCCACCTTTTCGTGCTAAGGTGCCGTGGGGTACACTCACCTTAGCATGGCTAACAGGCTGTACCCAACGGTTTTTCCCCGCCTTTATACGTATATGTATATAGGTACTTATGCATATACGCACTTATGTATGTACGTACTTAAATATACAACTGTTGTGGCTAACTGTGCCGTGCGTTCTATGCAACGTACAATTGCAATGGGCCAGATGCGTTCAACTGAGGCGTTTCTATACACGGTACAAACTGACTGTTGCTAAAAATGCCATCTTGCAGGGGAAACAAAATTGCCAACAAATTTACATAAAAGTGAAAATATTTCTACGTGCATTTATATATTTATTTACGTGCTATATGTACATTCTATATGTATGTTTTGTCCCATATAATATTTCTTTTACGCGTATACGCCTGCACCGCGACACCAGTTCGCGGAACACGACATAGTGACATCTGCTTCCATCTATTTTAGGCGCAGGTGTGAAGTAGCGAAAAAAAAAAAAAAAAAAAAAAAAAAAAAAAAAAA